GAGCGCACCATATTGACTGCCGTTAGTGACTCTGATTTCCCGCCTGCTCTTTCCGACAGGGCGCACAATCCACTTCCGACAATTCAAGAGGAGCCTCAACCATTGGACAGTGTAGAGGAGTATGAACGAGGTATTGAAGAAGTGCATGGACCCCCGGCTTCAAAACGACTTCGTACCGATCCTACGTCCGACGAAGTTCTACTGCGTACTGATCAAGAGGAGCTTCAGCCGCTCTCTGCCCTGGACCCACCAAGAGCTCCTTCCATTTCGACTACTGAAGTTGAGCTACCCACCGAACTGTACCCCCAAGATCAAGAAATGTTAGTGGCCAATTCTACAGCTACTGTCAATGCTACGCCTGAAGGTCCGCGGTTACCACCAAATGGACCTGTCCTGGTGACACAAGAGGAGCCTACAAATTCCTTCATGACGGAGCAAGGTGAATCTGCCTCGATTTCTCCTGATGGAGATGAAGACTCAGTTCAATCCGCCAATGAAGACCTCGATGATCACCAAGTCTCGCCGGAGTCGCTCGATGTTCATCTCCGGAATATCGCTGGATTGACGGAAGATGAAGATCTATTTGATTCTATTTGTGGTCATGAGTTTCGTGATGGTGTACTCTTCCTGCAGATCTTATGGAAGACTGATGAAACGTCGTGGGAGAGTGGGAGAAATATCGTGCTTGCCGCGAAGATTTTCCTTACGATGTCGCCAAGTACATTTGCTCCAACAAGATTGGATCCGCCTCTGGTAACCATTCAAATGGACCACATCAACGATGGGCACGTACTTTCTTGAAGAAAACTTGCCGTGTTATGCGTCGTTTTGTTCGATACCATGGATATTCGAAACCTATGTTGAATACCCACGATTTTCGTCGTCCTTGTGAGGACGACAGCGATCAGATTCAATTGACCAAGATGCACAAGAAGTCCCAGCCCCGCCAAGTCAGAAGAGCCAAGAAAAAAGGCCGTCTACAGCGTCCTTTGCCCATTCGGTGTGGCATTCCGATTCCGCGGACAGTAAAAGAAGCACTTGCACTTGATGATGATAACGGGAACCACTTTTGGCGCAAAGCAATGGAAAAAGAGATTGCTTCCCTGATTGCAATGAATTGCTTTGATTTTCACTCGAGTGATTACAAGCCTGGCCCAAATTCTCAATTTGCACCGCTGCGAATGATTTTTGAAGCGAAGCAAGATGGAAGACGCAAAGGAAGATTGGTTTGCGGAGGTCACCTCGTGGACCCACGAGGCATCTCAACCCGGTCAACAGTTGTGAAGGGCGTCAGTGTCCGCCTTCTGGACATGATTGCTGATCACTACGGTTTGACAATTGTCCATGGTGACGTTGGCAATGCATTTATAACCGCTAACTGCCTGGAAGAAATTCACTCGGTTGCCGGACCTGAGTTTGGAGAGCGCGAAGGCGCTGTTATTACTATTAACAAAGCCCTCTACGGGCTCCGAACTAGTTCAAGGGCCTACAGAGAAACTTTTGCAGCGTTCATGCGAACTATTGGTTTCCAATCGAGTCGCTATGACCGTGACGTCTGGATGAGGCTACGTGAGGATAACGAGGGATACGATTATCTATGCACTCACGTGGATGATTTCAAAGTTGTGGCCAAAGATCCCCAACGGTGGGTCAATGCTATTGCTGGAGCCTTTCAACTGAAATGCTTTGGAAAGCCTGACTACTACCTTGGTATGGATTATAATTTCGACGAGGAGACGAAGTGTTGGTTTACTGGTACCAAGACCTATGTGGAAGAGTGTATCCGAAGGATCCAAGCTTTGCTTCCTCCTGGCCATTTGCTCTGCACCCACAACACTCCCGCCCCCTACGACGGGAAAGCTTCCCATCCTGAAGAGGACAAGTCCGATTTCCTTGATGACGCTGGAAAACGCCAATATCAGATGTTGGTTGGCATGGCTCAATGGGCCGTGACCATTGGACGAATGGACATTGCATATGCAGTCTCTTCGCTCAGCCGCTTTTCCTCAGCGCCTCGTGAAGGCTGTCAGATAATCAACTCCGTAGCTGTAATGAGAGCCTCAACGCTCTAGCCACCTCTGGAGTATACTGAGCTCGAATCTACGTCGGCTATGGATTGCCTACAATAGGAACAGGTGCCAGTGATGCTG